TAGTGCAATCTAGAAGATACTATCCTTTCACCTCTGGATCCTGGGTTCAACTTCAGCTTTAGATAAGTGAAAAACTGTCAGATTTAGTTTAGTCTCTGTGCACATCACAAACGTAGTACATATGTTCACATTTGAGCCTCTGCTCAGGAGAGGTCCAGTGGTGTTGGGCAGGCATGGATTTAAGGTTAAATGTTGAGTCAGGAAGCAGGAGAGCCTAGTGTGTGAGGAAGGAGGTTTGTCCTTCACAGTGTGTGTAGTATTAGGAACGCCTAATTAGGAGATGGGGTCAGAATAAGCCAACGCAGAGGGGAACCCAGACAGCATACTGTGACAGTTAAATACACCCCTGGTGTTGGAATAGAAGGAGTGTTATAGATCTGAACTGATGGGTGGTGGAGTGAACGTACAGCTCAGGCTAGTCATTTATTTGACAGTTTATTGTTTGTAAAATTCTAGACTGAATCTATTGGAGTTTTGCTTGAGGAATGACTGTATTATAGGCCCCCTCTATCTCAAAAGATTTGTCTCATGCTCTAGCAATGTTGTATATCCTCCTCCCATAAAATAGATTTACCCTCAGAGATGAATATATACAATTTTTTTTAACATGGTTCCTTTTTGCACGACACTGTAGACAAATGTGCAATGGTATGCGCATTTAAGTGTGAGAGATTTTCTGTAGTCTCTGAAGCATCTATGTGAAGTTGAATTTAAAGATTAGCTTATTAATGTTGTGTTTCAGGGACTTGTAGGTAATTACTTTTACAGCTATAGATGGGCACTGCTGACTTATGAATGCAAAATAGGTTTTCTCACTCTGCCTGAGTCAGCTCTTTGTAAATTTATATGATATTAACTGTGGTGACTTACAAATGTGTCTGTAATGGGTTTGCGTTGCATCCACTGTTCCTTTATAAAAGCAAAGGACTTTTTCCCCACTGCTCACTCTAAGACTTCTGCAGGCCAGCTGATAAGATTCCCTCCTGTGCAGGTAGATGCGAGGTAATGAAATTGGATGTGTGTGCTGAGCTTTGTAAATAAAATGAGATTGACCCCCAGCCATTATCTCATTTATCTGATTTACATTGTAAAATAAGGATCTACACTATTGATTAGAGCATAATTAGTTAATTATGAACAGGAAAAATACAGAGTTATGTGGAGCTTGAACACAGCAGGCTATACTGCTAAAAAAATTCCAAGGGCATGAGCAGATGGAGATCACTTTAATAAAGAACAAAGCATACGTGTTTCAGGTATGGAACTGTCTAATCAACCTCTGGCTGTGAGGAGATTCTTGACCTCCATTCTATATTTTTTTACATATGAACAATATTTCCTTTCAATTGTTACCATTTCCTTTATTATTTAACTTATTAACCTAACTACTACAAATTTTCACCTTCCTTCCTCAGTTTATCTACCTTATTTTCTCCATGTAAAATTAGAAAATTAATTACCTGCCTTCCTTTTTGGAATGGAAAATAAAGCATTTCCTAATTTTGTTATGTAACATGATTTGAATCTTGTTAAAGGCATTGACAATAATAGGTAGCATCATATCAGTTAAAGCTATTTTAACACCAGGAGCTTGTTTTTTAGCCTACACTTAGCGGATCTCCATTTTTTATGTTCACAAAGTTCTGGGTACAACTCCTAGACCACTGAGTACTTAATTGCACCCGTAGATCACGTACTTTGGCATATAATGGCCCCTCAAATAATGGTGAAAATGTGGATGCCTGTTTTGGAAAATCTGACCTTTGATTCATATGGTTAATATTTTGTCTAAACCAGCAGTGCCCAACCTTATTACACAGTAGGCCCACATAAACCTAAGCACAAACTTGTGTGAACCAAATAGATTTCTATATATTTTAATAAGATTTAAAGTCACCTGTATTGATTTATATTTTAAGTTCAGCTTGTTTCATATGTGTTTATATAGGTTATTTCTACGTACAGTGTTGTCTATTTACACACTTGTATAAACTAAAATGATGTAAAGATGACAAAACGCTAAGGAATCAGTCATTGGTATATTGTGTTGAAGAATGCCCAAGGCCTTATGTCATGCTTTGGTGGGCCATAGGTTGGGCACCCCGGTTTAAACTATGGAGGATATACATTGCTAAACAAATATTATACATGTATAGAAAGCAGAGTGTGCTAGTCAGCTTGTTTATAACTCTATAAACTCTTGTTTATAACCCTAGCAGATAAGCCAAGTACATAACTATCTATTCACCTCAGAGTTCCCACAAGATCATGTCTGAGGCACATTTCTCCGGGTAGTGTAGGGAAGCGTGCGCTGTTGATATCTATTCTCCACCTGTTCTGTGAACATGACTACTGCAAAGTTCCGGGGCTATTAACTTGGCATCTTTCACAACCAAGAAATTCACATAACTTTAAAGTTTCAAAGTCATCTTATAGTTTGTTTAGGTTCTGTTTCTGGATCTGACAGTACATTTTCCATCTCCACATTTGACTAGGACCCTAGATCATAGTATGTGGTTCATATTGCAGACCTTAATACTCATTTTGCCAGTTGTCTTTGTAACCCAACTGACAGGCATTTGATAACTGACCAGGTTTCCTCCAGTGCTGGTGCCAATGCTAAACTATAATTTATCAAGGAGGAACAAGTGTTTTCTTTACAGAGCTGAAATGTGTGTGAGCTGTCCCTTTTTCTCCAAGAATTTGAAGGTCAATCACCAAAAATGTATCACACGACAGTGCTGCCAGGCAGATGGTCCAGTAGTAAAATATTCTAATTAGTAGATCCTTCATTTTATCAGGTATGGTGTACCAGAAATGTATTCTGTATCCTACCACCTCACCATATTAACATTGGTAGAGTCTAGTCCTGCTGCTATAGTAGTCGATGGTCAAATTCCCATTGGAATCAATGGAAAGGATATTGGGGTAATCATAGTTTTGTGCCTAGAAGATCATCTTTTTTTAAACAGCTAAATTTATTTTAATTTACCTATCATTGCACAGTACATTTATCATTTTACTGTGCTGTTTTCCCTAAGGGAGCTCTTTTATTTTCATATTTTTAAAAGATCAAATATAGGTTCTACTGTACAATAATATATTTTTATAAAAACAATATAAAAGCAGTGTTTCACAATTTATGGTTATCATTTTATAAATATGCATCACTTGATACTTTCACATCTGAATGGTGTGTGGTATATGAGGATGATTTAATCATCCACATGCTCTCACCAGTTGTGTATATATATTTAAATAAAACAAACAAACAGTCTCTGGAAACTTTTATATTGAAGTTTTTAATTTAGTATATACATATGCAAGAAGAATATGAGAATATTGTTCTTTATAGACAAAATAAACTGATTTGAAAAGAAAATTTAATTGAATACAAGAACAAAACTTGGCTTTAGGATCCTGAAACCTGTATCTTCCCTCATAATGTTTTATGGTAATTTCAACCCAACTTACGTAGATTTACTGGATGACTTTTGAAACATGGCTTAAAGTAAAATAGAATATTGGGCATTCTGGGTGAAAGATGTTTCCCCTCCCACCAAATTAGAGATTTTAAAGCATGATTTTGAAGAGGAAAGATTGTTTTCTTTTAAACAGAACATTTCTGTTACAACTGTTCTCCTGTATTGCTGTGCTATTACTAAGCAGTCTGCTAACAGAATCTGTATCGGTTGTACTAAAATGACTAATATTCTCATGTTTGTAGATTTTAGGATCCAATAGAGTCCTTTTGAAATGTATTTATTAAATTAGTTGAAAATAAGTTTGAATATGTGCACCCTCTGCAGTTATGCTAGAAAAATACTTGTTTAGGTTAACCAAATACTATCCCAAACGGGTTTTTTTTTTATATGGAGTTTTCCTTTTCAAATATTTTAGTGCATTCCTTTTGTTTAATCCTCTTTCTGTTATGTGCTCTGTGTTCTGTTAATAATTTATTAAAATGTATTGTTATTCTTGGTCTGATAAGTAGCACACTGTGCCTTTTATGTTTAAAAAAATAATTCTGCATTCTGCACCTTGCAAGAGTTTGGGATTTTCTTAAATGTGCTTTGCTAGCTTCTTATTTGTGGATTTCCTGGCTTATGAGGCTTTAATTCAAACATTTGAGACACTTAAATGGAATAAATAAAAAGAATTTGACAAAATTAGTTTTCAAAAAGTTTTCCCTTTTGAACAAAAGATCATAGGGTGTATGCAAAAAAGTGATGAAGACAACCACTTCAATAAAATGTATGAATCTCTATTATTTGCTGTTAAATTCTTTTTTCCTCTTGAGCATATTGTTGTACTATCTGATGAAAGACTCCTTTCATTAAGCACTGCAGTATAGCAAATGCTTCTTCAGTGGCAGTAGACTAAGAATGTCTGAACAAAGAATACTTATGATCGATGTTTCAGACTGTTGTCTGTGGGGTGTATATGGCACAAAACATTATCAAAAAGCTTGTTGATAAACTCAGAATTATGATGTGTACAGGTTAGACTTTTTTCAGTTATAAGTGAAAGATGACAGCAAAATGTTTTAATTGAATAACCTTTTCAAATTCGTACTAAAAGAATCTCACATTATTGAATATTTTGTGCAGATTTTATTTACTAGTTACAAAGTCACTATTTTAAAAAATCATTCATGCAATTGTAAACATCTTTGAATTTCTAGATATGTTGGCAGACATTATGGAAGATCCATAATGTAAAAAGTTTTGTTAGCCGGAAAGTGTACTAAATTCTGCAAATCATCAATATAGAGAAAATACATAGCTGCCTCCTGCATTTCTCCATGAGAATATTCCAAATTAAATAGAAACATACTTAAATGTGTGAGTGTACATGTAAATCACCCTTCCTGAAAATGTGTTTTAATCCAAACTAATGATTCAGAGATTTGGTGGTAAGTTTTCCATGGGGTGAACTACCCCAAAGTGTGTGCTTGATTTAATTGGTGAAGAAACACAATGTATCTGTTTCTCCTGCAGGTGTGATGAATGCAGACTCTGCTACCATTTTGGTTGTCTGGACCCTCCTTTGAAAAAATCTCCAAAACAGACAGGCTATGGATGGATATGTCAAGAGTGTGATTCTACTTCCTCTAAAGTAAGTTAATTCAGTCTGTGAAAACTCAGAGGAGGAGTTCTGGTTTTGGACAGCCTTTTTGAGCAAATCATTGCATAGTTTCTCATCTTGAGTTTGTGTTTGAACATTTTGCATAGATCTGCACTGGGAAACAGACATTTAAATCCACACAGTTAAAAGTCACACTGCAAGGATTTCATCTTGACTTTAACTAAAGGAGAGAAAAATGCAAAATGGAAATTGTGTTAATTGGCTCGATAAAGGGGAGTTTCTTATTCCTCTTAACTATTTTCTTCTTACATTATGGTTGTGACCCCCAAAATATATAAGTCCAAAGTATTAAGTTAAAATACCATAGCATTCTTTGCCCCATTATAAGCAGTCAGATATTTTAATATTTTAATAATGTAAACCATAACCTTTGAAGGCATGGTTAATAGTAAATTCATTTGAAATGTATTTATGAAAGATTTGAAAGTCTACATTTTTTTTGTTTTGTTTTTTCCAATGTAAATCAATTGCGAGGGACATTATTAGGTTAGCATGAGGGATAGTTGTAAGATATGACATTCTAAAATTGTTTGAACTTAAAATTCTCACGACTGAAACTTTGTTATATTAATGCTACCAACAATCATCCACTTCTGTGGTGTTATCCTGCAAACGACATAGGATTTTTTTGTTGGGTTTGGTTTAGTTTATTAACATTTTCCTGAACACTAGTTTCTTCAGTGTTGGCATGGGTGCCAGCACCCCCTAGATGCTTTAAAGAGACACTGTCAACTTGATTTTTTTAAAGTGACTAATTTTAAAAATATCCATTTGCTGATAGGGCATCATTAAAATAAGAGAACTTTTTAAAAAATCGGTTAATTTCATAAGCTTTTCTGCTGCTTGTTTTTGCTTATCAGTGTATTTTCGGAAAGAGATAAAGTGACCGAATAACTGATTACATAGAGAAGTGGACTATAAAGAAAATGCTATCAAACACGCAAAGTTAACAAACAGAAAAAATAGAGGATCTTTTTCTACTAACTTCTTTAGCTTCTAATAATCTTTCTTAGGTGTACAGTTATTTATAACTAAAGTAGATATAAAATTTTCAAGCACAAATGGGATTTTCAAGTTGCTGGTGTCCTTTTACAATTGGAAAAATAAAATACTTTGCTTTGCTGGGCGTTAATCAAATCATTCTTCCTCAAGAAGATACAAAGATGGACACTGGAAATTAGCTGTCACCTATAGTTTGGACATCAAGCAGTCTTTCTTGAATACCACTTAAATACAATGGGCACTCCTGGAGTGAATTATAATTGATATTGAATTCCTGTCACCTCTTAAACCAAAAGGGTTTCTTTATAACATTAGTTAAAATGTTCTGCCTCGTATTTTTTCAGTGTTTTTGCAAAAGGGCACTTTTTGAAACTCCAAATGTGTATTTGGCGTAGCTGGCCAAACTATGCAGATAAAATGCTATGCTTGCTGAATAATTTACCATGAAAATTAATTCAACATTATTTTTCTGTAAAGTGTGTTAATTTTTAGATATTTTGATGTAAGATGAAATGTTTTGAAAAAATAAAATTGAATTTACAAGCTACAATGACCACAGATATTTACTGTACTTATATTAAGGATTACTTCACATTTAAAAATATACCAAACAAGATGTTTATTACTGAGACTGATTTTCATTTTTAATTCATAAAGATCCATTCTTAAAATTAATATTTAACAATTAAGTTTGATTTATTGCACTATTTTCAACATAGCCAATTTTAATTATATTTGAATGAGAAAATGATGAATACGATAGGTACTGAGAAAGTTGTCTTATGGGGACTCCTTGTGGCTTTGTTTAGTTACTTAACAAAGATTTTTTTTCTTGCAAAGCAGTGTAAAGAAACTATTGAAAAAAAGCTATGTTACTGTCCATATTAAGAAATGTCTTTCTTTTTAGCATACCATATTTTTCTCTCATCTATTATGCTACATTGTGTCTAACAAGATCATGTTAGCTGAATTAAACTTTTCGTACAGTCCTTCCTTTATATGAAAATAATTTTAAAAGGCTTAATGTTTTCTTTCTCTTCCAATTTCAATCTGTTGTCTTGCTTTATAGTATATATTTTACACATAATACCCTGCATATATTTCAACATCCAATAAATACTTATGAATTCTAGGGCTTTTTCTCCCAGTAGGAAGGGGACTTCCTTCTGGGCTGAATACAAGTCCATTAGGCAGGAACATTGTAAGGAATCTGGCATTGTTTGCTGCACTCTGTCTGACCTTTGGATGAATAGCAGACTTGAGCCACAAGCATTTTCAATCTCTCACTCAACCACTAAATCCAATTTTTGGTATGTCACAACAAAGTTTCCTGTAAGGATTACTGCAGTGAAATAGGATTGCACGTTTCAGCATTTGCCAAGAAGACACTAATGCAGTCTCCTTCCCTTCAGTGGAGAAATCAGACTTTAAAAAGTAATATTTCCAAATGGAAAGTAATAAAGGAAATTTAATTTTTCCCTTTGCTATTCATCTGCTTAAATTCAATTTAAATAATCCCTATAGTATGAATGTTAATTCAGATAAACAAATTTTAACTTTTCCTAGACGACGAGTGTTTAGGTGTATTGGCCCTAGAAAAAAATTGGACAAATAGATTATGTGGTACTTATTGGTTCAATAAAAAGGGAAGTTATAATACACGAGGTTTTGCATAATGATTTTATTGTCCTAATAAAGGTGATTACATTATCTACCTTCCTAATTATAGTTCTTCTTTGAGTGCTTGCTCATGTTGATTCCATTGTAGGTGTGTCCGTGCCCACATGTGTGGCCATCAGAGACTTTTGCCTTAGCAATACCTGGAGGGCTGGCTATGGCGCCCTCGGGAGTGCCATGCTCATGGCACGATATATCGGGTGCCACCGGCCCTGCGCCCTCTCAGTTTCTTCTTACCACCCGTGGTAGTCAGTGGGAGCACCTCTGTCCCTTACTTCGCAAGTGGTCAGCAGTTTCTCGTCTAGCTTAGCCTTGTGCTTTACCTGCAAATAGTTTAATCTTTGTTAGTTAGTTCTTAAGTACCTGTTAAATGTTAGTTAGGTAATGTCCCAGTAGGGACTTTTCCCCTGGCGGGGCATGCCTCAGTCTCCTGGTTTCAATCCCTGCTCTTCGTGTAACATGCCTGTGCCTGTTAGTGACCTGCACAAGAGTTGCCTACAGTGCCTTGGGAAAACCCATATAAAGGAGCGCTGTCGCATCTGCTAGAACTTTCGTCCGCAGACACAAAGAGAGTGCGACACCGTCTTAGGGCACTCTTGATGCAGGTTGCCCTGCGCCCAGCTTTGGAGCTGTCGTGGCCAGAACTGGCACCCAGCACTTCAACTTCGGTGCGCAGCACACCTCCGGCACCAGGGTCCTCCTGGCACCAATCCCTGTTGCCGGTGCTGAAGAAAAAGAGTAAGAGGGTGGCACCAACCAAGCCCAACCAAGGGGCTCTGCGCAAAGGACACTGCTGGGGCCTTACACCCACTTCATACCCTCTAAAGGGCTCGGGCTTGGGGAGTTCCTCTCCCTGAATGGCCTGCCACCAACTCCGGGGAGCGATAAAGGGCCTAGATCGATGGCGCTGTCAACCTCCTCCAAGGCCCTGGCACCTGGAAAGCTGAGAGCACCTCCACTGAAGCTGGCACTGCGTGCAGCTATGGAACCAGCTAAGGCTTCCCATAAGGGCAAGCCTACCGGCAAGGCTTTGCACAAAACAGGCGAGCACCGCCGTTCTCCAGAGCCAAGACAGAGCCCTAGGTCGCCACATTCTTGGTCTCCGCGTCAACCTAGGTCTCCAGCTCGCCACTATGAGTTGTCGGCACCGTGCTCCCGATCTCCGTCGTTGCGCCAAAGCTCGCCCAGGCATCGTCGATCTCCCTGGCCCCGGTCTTCATCGCACAGTCGGTTGCAGTCACTGAGACCTTGAGGGCGCTCCTCGAAGCAGCACTGCTTCCCCTACCCCCAGCACCATTCGGACCGTTCCCATCAGCGGTCTCCGGTGGTGATGGTGAGCTGTCAGACTCAAGCCTCCACAACCCTGCCGTGGTCGCCAGAGGGTGACAACGTCTCAGGCTTGGAGGCACAAATCAGCCCTTTGCCCAGGCAACATGATTGGGCTTCAGAGGGTGCATCTGTGACATCGGTGCCGACCTGGCAACAGAGCCAGTGGCTGACCCAATGGCCTTATTGGAATGCATGGGGCGTTCCCGTCATGTCAGTGCCCCACTCCTGCCAGCCTTCAGTCACTGCGTCAGACAGGCCGAAGACAGTGCTCCTGGTACCCACGGCACCGGGCTCAGTGCAGGATGTCCTGGCGGCCGTCACGGGTGAGGATCCAGTACCCACCCCAAGGCCTCCCGCACCAACAGGTGAGTACACTGCCAGACCTCCCCCGGTCATCCAATAATCCTTCTCCTCCCTGGACAAGGCGGTGGCGGGGCCTTCCAGAGCTAGCCCACCAGGCAATTTCTGTGAGCATCAGGTGCTGCTCCACAGGGTGGCATCCAACTTGGCCATCAAGGCGGAGGAGATGGAGGAGCAGACGGACACATTATTTAGTGTGCTCTCCACATCCTCCCCAGACTGGGTCGCACTGCCAGTATATGAGCGGGTCCTGAACATTGCCAAACCATCTGACAAACCCCATCCTCCATCCCGCCCACCTCTAAAAAGGCAGAAAAGAAGTACTTCGTTCCTGCAAAAGGGTTTGAGTACTTGTACACTCATCTGCCACCAGGGTCATTGGTCGTGTCAGCGGCCAACAAAATGGACAAGCAGGGGCCCGCCCTCTCCATCCCTAAAAATAAAGAGACTAAGAGACTGGATTTGTTTGGTCAAAAATTTATTCTACAGCCAACCTCCAGTTTCAGGTAGCAAAGCACCAGGCCCTCTGCTACAGTTTTGACCTGTGGGACTCTCTCCTCAGGTTGAAGGACTCCATGTCCCAGGGGGCGGCCCAGGAGTTC